CTTACAAGATGGTGCGGGATAAACTCCGCACCTGGGCCCCCCGCTGACGCAAAGTCTCCGGCCCCAGCTCGTGGAGGACGTGGTGAGCGCTCTGTTCCCTGCGCGACGGGAACATCCACCCCCGCCTATGGCTCCGCCACATGCGGTGCCGGAAGCGGACCACCAGGACGACGACGACGACATCCCGGAAGGGACCGGGGTAGACCTGAGAGTGGCGGTACGTAGGCTCAAGGCCAGGAATACCGCCCCAGGACCCGATGGCTTGCCTGGCAAAGCCTGGGTCCTGGCCTCGGAGGCTCTCGGGCCCCGACTGGAGGGGCTCCTAAGCGCATGCTTGGAGAGAGGCCAATTCCCGCTTCGTTGGAAGACGGGGAAGCTGGTCCTCATTCGGAAGCCGGGGCGCCCTGCGGACTCTCCGTCCGCATACCGGCCCGTGGTGCTGCTCGACGAGGTGGGCAAGCTCTTTGAAAGAGTCATTGCAAACCGCCTCGCCGAGCACCTTGCGGGGACGGGGCCGGATCTTGCGGAACACCAGTTTGGTTTCCGCAAGAGGCGCTCTACGGTGGAAGCCATCATGCGCGTGAGAGCCCTCACGACGGGGGATGCAGTGGCCAGAGGGGGGGTTGTCTTGGCGGTGTCTCTTGACATCGCCAACGCCTTCAACTCCATGCCCTGGAGCTGCATTAGGGAGGCACTCCGGTATCACCGGGTGCCGACCTATCTCCGTCGTATAGTCGGGGACTATCTGACGGACAGGGCCGTCATCTACCCCGGTCGCAACGGTGAGTGGAACCGGCGTGAGATGTCGTGCGGTGTCCCACAGGGTTCGGTTCTGGGGCCACCTCTGTGGAACATCGGTTATGACTGGGTGCTGCGCGCCGACCTCCCTACCGGCGTCAGCGTAATTTGCTACGCTGACGACACGCTGGTACTGGCACAAGGGGGGTCGTACGAGGCGGCGGCGGAAACTATGACACGCGGGGTTGCGATAGTCGTTGAGAGGATTCGGCAACTGGGTCTCGAGGTGGCTCTGCACAAGTCCGAGGCCATGCACTTCCATGGTCCTCGGAACAGGCCACCACCGGGATCCTCAGTAATGGTAGGAGGGGTATCCATCGGCGTCGAGTCGACGCTGAAGTACCTAGGACTCGTCCTCGACGGCCGATGGAACTTCGTTGAGCACTTCCGACGTTTGGCTCCCAAACTGGAACGGACCGGGGCTGCCTTCAGGCGACTCCTGCCGAACCTGGGGGGCCAAACGCCTCCTGCCGGAGGCTCTACGCGGGGATCGTGCGATCCATGGCCCTTTACGGGGCCCCGGTGTGGGCGCGTGGTTTGGCGCGGCTTGCCGTCCACCACCTGAACGCGCCCCAAAGGGTGGTCGCCGTTAAAATGGTTCGCGGCTACCGCACGATCTCCCCGCGAGGCGGCGAGCCTCCTTGCCGGATTGCCGCCATGGGATCTGGAGGCGGTAGTCCTCGCACGCCTGCACGAATGGCGCGTGGAGGCACTATGCCGGGGGGGAAACCCCGCTGCCGCGGCAAGTTGTCGCGCAGCGGACAGTCTTCCGGCACGATCTCATGGCGACATGGAGAGAGCGACTGTCGCAACCCCGTGCTGGGCACGCCACTATAGCGGCGATAAGACCCCTCTTTGAGGAGTGGCTTGAGAGACGCCACGGCATCCTCACCTTCCGCCTGACTCAGGTCCTCACCGGACACGGTGTGTTCGGGAGGTTCCTGCACCGAATCGGGCGGGAGGAAACGCCCGGGTGCTCCCACTGCGAGGATGGACCGGAGGACACGGTGGAACACACCCTGGAGGTGTGCCCTGCTTGGGCGGAGCACCGCCGTGTCCTCGTAGCGGCGATAGGCGGCGGCGACCTCTCGCGTCCGGCCCTGGTCGAAGCCATGGTCCGGAGCGAGACGGAATGGGATGCCGTCACCACCTTCTGCGAAGCAGTGATGCTAGCGAAGGAGGTGGCGGAGCGGGAGAAGGAAAGAGCAGCAGCTTTCCTCCCAGGCCGCCGCGGGAGACGCCCCCGGGCGTCGGGGGCTACGTCGTGGCCCCCGGCCACCGTAGGCGCGGGCCTGTGGACGGCGAGCAATGGGTAGCTCGTCGTCCGTCCGTCTAACGACGACAGGCCGTGTCGACGGCGCGTTTTGTTCCACGCGCGCCTCAAAGAGCTGTCAGCAGCGTGATGGGGCCCGCAAGGGCCGACGCCTGCCGGGGCTGCGGGCTATTCGAAAGAGATACCGCGGCTCCGGAACGTAAGGGCACTGAAGGAACACGGATGGTTTTTAGTCAGTAAAAGTCTGACACTCCCTTACGCTCCACCCAGAGCGAAAGGGGTCATTAGATGATTTTCCATCCGCAAAAAAAAAAAAAAAGGACATCAAATATCTCAGTCACTCCCGTGTAAAACACCCGAAACGTGGGGAATTAAAAATAAGTAAATTAACCGCGATAAAATCCGTATATATAGTTTTATTCAATTATAAGATTTCTTCTTATATTTCTGCTGTTCTTATGGGTACAAACAGTCTCTTTCTTTCTTCTCTCTCCTCTTACACTACACTTGACGGTACCGAGTGCAACCAGGCTAGACGTCACACCTATGTAACGTTGTTAGCAAGAATTATTCGTTGTGCTAGTTATAATCGGTTTATGTGTATAAAAAGTTGTCGATTATGTGATATTTCCAAGAAAACCTATTGATGACAAGAAATAAAGTGTTAAAACAGTGTTTGAGTGTAATAACAATTAGAATTTGTTTCCCTTCAATTTGAAGAATTTCTCACTGTATACTAATATTTCAATGAACCTTATATTCACTTTGTAATTAAATAATATATCCTAGAAATAGATGACATATTTCACCATCTACGTATTAATAAGCGCAGCGTTCTGGTTACGTAGTGGAATAAACGAGTGGATACACGATATTTTATATCTAGACGCGGAAGTTAAAAGCACTTAAGTCAAATATTTTTGTATGCAAAAATTTTACAGGGGTTTAATTTTACAAGGGAGGGTTTTATTCGATTGGTGTGAAAAAAATGTAGTACAGTTTTTATTTTTATTGTTTTTATTACATAATCACGAACTAGTTACACGTTTAATTTAGTATATTTCAAACTTATTTATTATTATCTGACTTAAGTTTTTATGTGCGCAAAGAAGTCGCAACTTAAGTGTTTATTACTGTACCATACAACTACGTAGCTTATTAATGTTTAAAAATATAAAAATGAACTATCAATAATATTTAATAATTATAATAATGCTTATTAGTTACGTTTTTATAATAAACTAAAAGCTACTTTCTTCAGAATTTGATATATCTGGATCAACGTCAGTTGTGTCTGTAGCAGTTACTAAATTCTGGTAAAAATTATGGAAACATTCCGGTATTAAAGATAAAAGTTATATTAGGTCACTTTTTTTTCAATGCTTATTGGTACCGGCTTTGCAGTAATCTGCATCAAATTAAATTCCTTTTCTCGTCGCGTGTTCCGTTTGAAATTAATGGTATTGAAACATTCATCTCTCAACAGACATTTTTTGTATTTTATGACGCCATACTTAGCTTCGTAACACAGCCACTTCACATCATGCCATTTGAAAATATTTCCATCATCGTCTTTTTTTCGGACTACTAACGACCCTTTCAATAATCCAGCGAAGTCAAAAAAATCTGCTTGCCGCATTTCTTTAACTGTAAATTTTTTGCTGCTCGACCTGACTAATTGCATCCAATCATGTGGATGATAAATTTCAATTTCAGTTTTTGTCTTTTTTTCTATAATTGCATGGTCCAAGTCCACCTCCATATGTGTATGACCATGTGAGGTACCATACATTTATGATTTATAAACTTAATAGAGGGTTTTACTGACAACAAGTAGGTAAACATTGCAGCCACATGGGTGTTCTTATTTTGTCCTCTACAAGTATCAGAGTACAAAATTACTTCTGAAACTTCTTCAGGAAGTTCTTTTAAATATAAAAACAAACAAGAGGCTATTTGATTAGCTCCTCGACCCGAAATTCCCTCATGCCACATGTGGTGCGTTGACATTCCAGTTCCGTGGTCATGTATCGTAAGATTAAAGGTCCAAAGTTGTCTTTTGTAAAAGGCTACAGATGATTGCAAAGCTGGGGTTGGCAAGCATTGTTGTAGGTCAAAAGACAGACACTTGATTTTTTTATCTGTAACTGCGGTATTTTTGTCAAATTTCTTCTCATTGTAAGCCATATCAGCTGCTAGTAAGTGTGCGTCCCGTTCTGTTTCAAGAGCAGATTTTTTTCGTCTCGTCCGTAGCAATGTTTAATTTCATTTTAAACAGGTTGCAAGTGTGACATGTGTCCACTTTTGGTTATTTGAAACTTAAATTTAATTTGTGGAATTCTCTACGGTAAATCTTGTCACTTACAGGATTTTCATGTGAAGTTGAATAAAGAGAATACATTTTTGATATTGTCAAATGCGATGGTAATTATTTCCGGGTGCTTTTGCGTCTAGTGTAGTGGCTTTCATATAGCGGAAACGAATTGATATGATTAATCACCTCTTCAATTTTTTGTTCAGAATATTTGTTCGGTGGTGTATTCTTCCCACGTTTGCCTGTTTTTATAATTCCACTTGAACTGCTACGTTTCTTCAACCCGATTAGTTTCACAAAATTATCACTTATTGATAGGGTTTTTAGAAAACACCCTTGACACACCGATATTTTTTCACTATTAACGTTGAAATGATACTTGTAAGTGTGCTGTCTACATTTTTGTTTGTCAGGATTTTCGACACGAAGACGTTCAGTTTTTTTCTCTTGGATAGTGATCAAAGATGAAATGAATGCTGCCGTTAAATCATAAGACCCAAGATTCCAAACCTCCTTGTGTATCAAAGCGCGCTATTTATCACTTATTTTCTGTCGTCACTTATTCCGAAAGCCAGGTAATTCTTTAATTTGACGTTTTCCAATAGTTTTACCAGTTTAGTTTTCCTGCTTCTTTTTTCTACAGGACACTGGTTGGTTTTGTTGTAGCAAAGAAATATCTCCAATGTTTTCAGGTGTCTCATTGTCTGGCGTTATATGCATATCCACAGATGCATTAGGAACAGCAATTTCCATTTCTTTATGTTGTGTAAGTAAGCTGCCCGGAGAGTAGTTAGGATCGGCCAAAGAATCGTCACTAGAAAAGTCACTTACTGTTTCATCTAAAATAGTTTGTTTTAGGGATACAGATGTACTTGGTTATGGATTACTAAAAGGGTTTCTAAAGAGGTGTAGTAATCTCAAATAAAGCTATTAAACAGTTTCACATATTACCCATTGTAATAAAATGATAAACTAACGTTCACATCAAAACACTTTTACCCCGACACAAATTACTGGGATAAGAGCAGGAAAAAGAACTTCACCACATACCTGTATTCTCATTCATTGCTGCACTGTCATTATTTATGGCGAGATTCACCAATTTTCTGGCCCTTGAATCCATTGCGATACAGTTAACTTAACGTACACCACCACCGTCATACAGAAACAAATAACAACTAATGAAGAAATGTGTATTTCTTTTGACTTAACTAAAATGTACCACTTTATCAGACTCTTAAAAAAGGGAGTAGGTACTTCGAAGAAGTTTTGTTCTTTGAAGTACCTACTCCCTTTTTTAGAAGAATAAAAAACGGACCATTGTAAAAAACCACTTAAGTCAGTCCGCTCGCAATATAAAAAAACTTAAGTCAATTTAAGTAATTTTTGCCGCCGCTCAATGTGTTGATAAAACATAAGTCATATGGTACAGTCGGCTGTTGCGTCTAAATTAAGCGTCGGAGACTTTCGTGCTTCTTCCAGTCGACGGATGATACAAAAACACGATTGCTGTGACTTTTTAGAACTTAGCGCAAAAATTTACTTAAGTACTTTTGGCCGCCGTGTCTAGATATTATAATGGATTCCAATTGTAACTCGAAAGGCAAATGTGCAAGTTGTCCAAATATAATCAAAAGTCGTGAATATTTGAAATGCGCATATTGGGGTCTCTGTTACGATTTATCGTGCGCAAAAGTGTCTACAAAACGATTTGAACTTATGAACAGAGTCAATAAAAAGTCATGGAAATGTCATGGTTGTCAAAATGTGATAACACTAACACAGCGGTACGTACGCAGCATAGTAACATAGTTTGCGAAACATCGAACGCTTACGAGAATGTAGAGGATAATCATGAGTACAATAATATCACTATGCGGACAGCCCAAAAATTTATTATTGATAACTTAGATTCAGAGACTATGTTAAACGTTAAAAGTCTTCGCAAAATCATTAAGGAGGAAATAACGGCTGCTCATAAATCAGTAATCCAAGTGCAAGTATCGGAACAGTTGGACATAATTAAACAGCAAATTGCAACTTTACACGAATCGATGACATTATTTAATGAAAAGTTTGATGAATTGAAAAGAAATCTTGCATAAAAATCAGCTACTATAAAAAACTTTGAAGTTGATAATGAGAAATTGAAAGCTATTGTTCACAGTATAAGGAATAATTTAGACGTAATGGAACAATTCGCTAGATTGTCTAACATCGAAATACAATGTCTGCCAGAAAATAAGGAGGAAAACATATTAAATACTGTTGTTCTGATAGGAAAAGTCATAAATTGTAATATTAACGAAACTGATATCTCGCACTGTATAAGAATTTTGAAAAAAAAAAACCGCAAAACACCAGGCTAAGATCAGTACTTGTAAGATTTAATAACCAGCATATGCCTGACTCTTTCATCACCAGTGTAAGTAAATATAACAAAGAAAGTAAGGGTAAGCTCAACACCAGCCTACTAGGAATTGCATCTGATCCACTAAAATGATTTTTATAGCAGAACATCTGACGGCTAATAACAAAGAACTGCATGCTGCAACAAGAGCTCGTGCAAAAGAGCTGGTCTTCAGGTTTAACTGGGTCAAAAATGAAAAAAAAATTATGCGGAAAACAGAAAAATTTGAGATTATTCTATATTCAAACTATCCACGTTAACAATATATTATATTGTGAACGGGGATTGTTTGAAAAATTAAGTCCTTATTCTGTGTAGACTATAGTATTTTTTTTTCTTTCACTATCAATGTCGCTTGCATAAAGATGACAAAATTCAATTCACAAAACAAAAGTAGACAGTTTATCATGGGGTTGTTAAATGTTCATTCGCTTAACACGGGTTTATTTTTTTATTTATTTATTTATTATAGGACAACACAACAGATTACATCATGACTTAAAGCTATAACTTACAAAAATAATGGTGTGATACAAGACATAATCCTTATACGTGTTATCACGGCATGCCAAGATTGAGAAACAAACATTTTAAATAAAATTGCTTAAACTAACAGGCTTACAAATCCAACAAATCAAGAACTATAAATATAATGAATATCAATCGAAGGGGATGTCCTTGAGAATGTCTTTCAAAACATTTCTAAAGCGAACCAGGGTTGGTATGAACTTGAAGCCTCATTTCGTTTAAAAAAAATTTAAGTACAGAAATAGGTCTAAAATTTGCAGTGTGCAATGTACTAACAGATTTGAATAGAAGTATTACATTATTATTACATTTATTATTTAAGTATCACTTTATTATTAAGTACCACGCTTTCACAGTGTGCCAGCGTAAAATAGCAGCTCAATACTGCCGTGTTTTGTACGGTGAGTGTGTATCCAGAGACTATTTTTACTGGAAACTAAGCACTATACTCATTAGTTCTCAGGGGTGACAACGCATCTGCATCTTTGATTCTTAATCGAGTATAAATGTAGATGTCACAGCATCCACTTACCATAAAGTGGACTGTGTGCTCATTTGTCACACTTATTTTATATAAAAAATACTAATATTAAAAATAGTTGATAGTTGAGGTGCGACTTTATCTATTACAGACGCAATAACTTTAACGGAAATCTACCTCAGATCAGTGGTTTTATTAATATCAATGGTTTTAAAATATATTTTGATGATAGTTTATAAGATGAAAAATTCTTTGTACACGAATTTACATTTCGTTCAAGTAGTGATTCGTTGACGGCAGGCGAAGAACTTAGTAACTAAGTGGTTAAAATATTTCACAAAACCATTGCAACGTCCTGTAGTGGTTAAGCTCAGAATATCAGTAAAATATTTCTCAAAAAACATTGCAACATCCTGTTCTGATTTAGTTAATTTGTTGTTGAAACTTAACTGGTAGTTTTTATTACAAGACTTGAATGTACAAGTTTCACTATTAGTTTATAACTTCATATCATTTTAATTTTATTAAAAGATATTTATGCAACGGCTTAGCATTTTAAAAAACTTATCTATACATTTTGTACTGGATTTAGCAATACGAGTTGACTCTAAAAACAAATTAAAAGGACCGTATGATTTATACAGTTTTCTAAATTTAATATTGGTGGAGGAAGCTTCATGTAGATTGATATAAAAGTCTTAAAGATTAACAATAACATTTTTTACTCAATATTAAACAGAAACCAATTTCAATTCAATGGTCAAGAGTCAAAATTCACTTTCGTTTAATGTTATTCAGTTGAAACAATAAGATAGTTTAAGTCAAGTTAAATTCATTAACTGCAACTTATATGTTTATTGTTCACTCGCCCTTGTATCTTCTCACATTAGGCCTAATACAAATTGCTTATGTTGGAGCAAGCCAATTTAACGTTACGAGTGAAGCGAACTGGAAGATAAAGATAATTGAACGTTGAATTGACTAATTTTTCTGGTAGAATGCATTATACTTATTTTTAGTATGTAATTAAATATAATTAAACAATTTTTTGTTTGGAATTTTTTGTCACAATCTGATCTTTACATGTTTATTATAGTATAAGTTAAAACGATGAATAATGTAATAATTTTCAAGAAAAGTTATTCCTATAACACAATGTGTTTCTAATATATTCTTTTAACCACCTCGCTTAACCCAGAAGTAAATTCTCAGACCGGTGAAGAGCAGAAGTAGTGCGTGACGCCTGGTACTGCGAACAGCAATCAGCTTCTAGTAAAGTAAAGTTACAGCCTATATACGTCCCACTGCTGGGCTCAGGCCTCCCCTCATTTCTGAGAGGGTTTTAGGGCAAGGAAGTGTCCGCCGCGCTGCCCAAATGCGTGTTGACGAACTTCACATGTCTTCGAAATATTTTTTTTTCTTATTCCTCAGACATGCAGGTTTCCTCACGATGTTTTCCTTCACCGCCGAGCACGTGGTAAATCAGCACTTAAAATTGCAATTAACAATTTCATTGGTGCCGGCGGGGATCGAACCCGGGTTACTCGCGTTCTGTTATATTTACAGCGAGCGTTAACCACTGAGCTACCACGGCTCAATCTTAGCTTCTACAGCATGACAATTAAGACAGGAATTCCCTACAGTGAAAGAGGTCCATTTTCAGCAGTAGAATTTTACGAGCGAAATGAAGATGATTCGACATGAAGTGGCGGCGAAAGAGAATTCATCAACACCATTACAGCCCTTCAAAATTCCACTGTTGAACATAGGCATCCTGCATCCATCGATTTCCTACTAACTTACTAGGTCGTCACTCCATCTCGTTAGGGGTCACCCTGCATTTAATCTACTGGTTTGAGACTGTCACTCGAGAACCTTTGTTTTTTATATTACCGTTTCATTGGCTGTTAATCTGTTGGGCTACGTGGATTACTCTGGTTATGCCGGAGATATTCTTATTTTTAAGCCTATCACGCAGAGAACGAGTCCTCTACAGATTGCTAAGCAACCTTGAGATTTCTCATGCGGCTAGCAGTGAAGGATAACGTCTCAGATCAATTAGAAAATTCTGTGAGAGATTTCACTACCTCAAAATATTATCTTGTGGGTATTGTAAGATACGGCGGAGGTAAATAAAACAGGATATGAGTAAGGTCACGTGGGGCAAGTGTGACATAAATTAATTAAAACTATAATCGACATTTAAATACTTCTACTCTGTAACGATTTAATATAGAGAATTCAGTTTCATAACATCAATTATTAAGTGGTTGTATTTTTGATCAATCATTTTAGTATCAACAAGTAGCATTTTGTAATTGGAGGTAATTAAAACTAATTGAGGTGGAAGACTGTCACACTTACCCATTATTGGGGCAAGTGTGACAGTACGCTTCTTTTTGTAGTTACTTTATTATTATCTGTGATTTTGTACAAAATTGAAGAGATCATACTAACGTCGATATATTTTATGATCTATGGAAATGATTTTAACGTACAATTTTGTGTAACACTGAATTTCCCCCAACATGGGGCAAATGTGACTGTTTTTAACCGATATACTCGTAGTAGTGTGCCTTTAAATAGATTTATTTCACTTGTTCTGGATGTTTTGTAAGTATAATAAAAGCAATGCCATATGCAAAATAAAACTAAAATCAGAACTTATAATAATATAATCATAATAAACGTGATACTGTCACACTTACCCCATGTTAGGCTGTATTAGGTGAGGTAAGTGTAACTGTATCCGTATTTCAAAGAATACTGAATTCAGGTCTCAGAAACATATTATTCTATAAGTACCAATATTATTCTTTACCACTCACCTTGTTTTCCTTCAGAAGGAAAACATCGTGAGGAAACCTACATCGTGAGGAATAAGAAAAAAAATATTTCGAAGACATGTGAAGTTCGTCAACACGCATTTGGGCAGCGCGGCGGACACTTCCTTGCCCTAAACCCTCTCAGAAATGAGGGGAGGCCTGAGCCCAGCAGTGGGACGTATATAGGCCGTAACTTTATTTTTATACTTTTTACTCACCTTGTATTTGGTTTAAAATAACTTAACGACATATCGAAACACTTAATAACTTCAACTCTTAAAATTGCGCTGTCTGTAGCCAGTTGAGTAGTTTTTAAAAATAACGTCTGTTGATAAAATAGTTCAAGCTATGTACTGAACTGTCAATTAAGTCAATAGCGTAAAATTTCCTGTGTTGTTTGATAGATGTAATTAAACCGAAAAGTGTGTTTAGGCTGCATAATTTGCATTTTTTACACTTGCCCCACTGTCACACTTGCCTCGGGTGATCATACCGTCGTTTTCTTAACAATAACTCATATTAATAGGAAGTGCTAGAAAACTATAGCAAATATCCCCATCATCGGTAAAGACTTTTGCTTTGCAAATTTACAGAAATAGTAAACGTTATCTTATAATTCTCTAGTGAAATGTGTCACATATATTACGATTTATTGAATAACAATAGCATAAAATCAGGTATCAAAATAAGCAAATTCTAATCTACATTCAAAATCTATATTTATATCTCGATTAAGACATAATGCAGATGCATTGTAACCTGTGAGAACTAAATTGAAAGCCTCGTTTACTGTAAAATGCGTCTCCGGTTCTCTACACTCACCATACGAAACGCAGTTATTACTTTGCTGTTTTATACTGG